GACACCTTAACCCGGAGTCTTGCGAGTTGTGTTGTCTGCTTGTTCTCCAGTACTCTCCTGATGTCATTACTGTTCAGAATACAGGCGGCATCCGCGTTGCAAGCTCGATTTAGGTTGTTGCAACGGGCTAGGTTGATTTTCCACCTGGATGCCCCGGGGCCGCCCCGTTTTGGTTAGGTGCTATTCGCCCCTTTCCCTCCCTGTTCCCGGCTCCTGACCGTCTGCGGGTTTCGGGGTCCCGGCGGGGTTTAGTTGGTGCCGAGACTCGAGCGCCTTCAGGGGCTGCCATGCTCGGATTGAGGATGGAGGTTTTCGAGCCTGTTCCTCCTGCCAAAGCTTCTGGGTCTTACCAGCGGCCCATCTTTGCTGCCTTTCCCCAGGACTCTTCCTTTTCTTTAAGGGCAGAGGGTGTGGAGAACGGCTCTGCCCTGGGGCCTCTGTTGAGGGTTCTCGGGGCTGTGGGGGATGCCCGCTTGCAGGTTTGCGGCTGTTTGCTCCTGCCTGGGTTTTCTGCTTTTGGGCGGGGTTTTCTCGTCCTTCTAGTCTGCTTCCTTCCCGCATTTGCTGGTGTGTTTTCGGCTCTATTGCGTTGGGCACGGCTCCTTTGTTTTGGTGGCCATTTTCTTTTCTGCGGATAATTCTCTGCTTGGCCACTGGGTACGCTGCCGTTTGTTTACCGATGCCTGGGTATGCGAGCTGGCGTTGTTGGGTGAGTTTTCACCTCCTTTCAAGGGTTTTATCCTCCTGTTGCTGTTTCTTTGTTATTCTGGGGGTGTTCTGACCATCGTTTGTTCTTCTGGAAACGCTTGGGTGTTGCTTTTTACACCGGTTTCTGCGTTTTCTGTCTGTTTTATATATATATATATATATATATATATATATATATATATATATATATATATATATATTATATATATACCCCCGGTTCTGCCTTCTGGAGTATAACTGAAAACTCACACCCCAGTTGTATATAGTCCTGGGGACCATTCAGGCTTGTTTGCATATATATAGATTTCCTTTCGGAAGGGGTTCCATTCCCTTCACTGTTGATGGGGCGTTGTGGGGTCAGCTTGCTCTGTTGGCTCTCACTTGTGGTAGTCTTCCGGCCTCTGGTGGCGTCGGGCGGCTTCTCCTTCCCTGTGGGGGGTTCGGGGCTGATGGGGTGGGCTTCTTCCCCTGCACTTCGTCATGTCATCTTGGTGTGGGTGCGTTTGGACGTGGTCATTCCGCTATATCCTTCCGAGATTCCCGCCCGTTCTAGTGCAGACCCGTCCTTGCAGTTCTTCTGGACTTTTGCAGTCTGCGCCCTGGATTCTTGGCCCTCCTCGGAAGACTGTTGTCTCAGGTCCAGCTTTTGTTGGGGCTGGGTACGTGGATGGTGTCCCTGGACCTCTGGGTCACTTCTTGGCATGTTCTCTCCAGGCTTCCAGGACTGGCACTGTTGGTGGTGGGGCTTCAGGCTTGCCGCTTTGTTGTCTTCCCTAGTTTGTAGTTGGCACTTAGTGTATTTACACATCTTTACCGGATTTTGGTGACCTGTCTGCGTCTGCTCAGGATTTGGTTTGTGGCCTACCTCGACTACTGGCTGGTATGGGCTGCCAGTCGGTCCACTTGTCTGCTCTCCAGGGGTGCAGTTCTTTCCAGATTGCCGGATTCGGATTCCTGCTGATATGGAGGCCGTTCCATCTGGTTCCGTCCCAGGTTCGGACCTGGCTGGGTCTTGTTTTGGACTCTTGGACCGTTTCTTGGACTTGGATTTTGTCTTTCCCTCCCTAAGTGTTGCTGCGGCTGTGGTCCCGCATTTAGCTGTTTGAGGGGGTTCCAGGTCACTCGGTGGTTGCTCGAGGGGTTGTGCAGGAGTCTGAACTTCGCTGTGCTGGTCTGCCCATCGGGTCGGGTTTGGCTTCAGCATCTGTTCGGTTCCTTTGGGAACTCCCCTGCTGCCTCTCTCACAATCGTTGGGTTCGTCCTCCGGGGATCTTGTGTTGGTGCTGCGTCACCAGCTTCCTCTTTGGGGTTTTCGGGGTTCCGTGCCTTGGCGCCTCCCCGAGCCTTTGCTTGATGTGTTCAGGGACGGGTGATGTTCTTGGCTGGGGCTTTGTGGCCAGTGCTCACCAGGCCGGCTGGGGATGGTGGGGTCCGTCCGTCCGTCGGGCTCATAGCACGGTTCGGGAGTTCGTGGCTGTCTGCTTTGCACTTCATAGGGTTCGAGTCACTCGGGGCTCTCCCATCCGGCTCCATTCAGACTGTTTCTGGGTGGTTCATTGCCGGAAACACAGGGATTCTCTTAGGTCCTTGACCTTAGGGGTTGGTCCCTTCGAGTGGCTCGTCTGCTGGATTCCTCAGGGTTTGGCTAGCTCTGCGTTTCATGTCCGGATTGTCCTCCATCTCGGAGGACAATCCGACCGGACGATTGGCCGGTTGTCGCCAACTCGTTTCGTTGGCTCTGCCGGACATTCGGACTCCTCAACATGGACATCTTTGCGTCAGCATGGTCTCAGTGTCTCCCATTCTATGTGGCGTCCTTACCTGCCTGCGAGGCATTTACGGTGGCTGCCTTTCAGCAGAATTGGTCGAGGTGAAGTTACCTGTTCCTCTTCTCCCAGTCCAGCTGTTGCTTCTGGTTCAGGCTGGGTTGGAGTCCTTCCCGAGAAGAGTAGTCCTCGTGGTCTCTTGGTGGCCAGCCCCGCTTTGTTTTCAGACACTTTTTGATAGGTGTCCAATCCCGGGGTGTTTCCCGTGGCTCCGCCTCTTCCACCAGATCAGACCGGTCCTGTGCGTGACTAGTTCGGCCTTCTCCTTGGCTCTTCGCGCCTGCTCTTTTGATGCGGGTGTATCACCATTTCTATGGTGATCAGGAGGCTTCGTTGATGGTGTCCCACCTGTGAACTTTGTCTTGGCGACGGTAAGACGTTCCTGGCATTTCTGTTCGCCATTTTCTTGCTCTTCGTAGGTTGTCTTTTCTTTCTCATCGAGTTGTTTTGTCCTTTCTTGGATATTCAGGTCTGGTAATTGATGCTTCTTACTGTCGCTTCGTGTTGTACGGTGCTGGTGGAGCTGCTCTAGCTTGCATTCAGGGTGGACGTCACATCCACCCCATTCCATACGCTTCTCGTGTTGTGTATCACCTCCTGGCTGCTCATGCGCCGCCTGTGCCGTCCTGGACCTTGATCAGGGTGCCCTCTTATCCTTCCTCTCCTCAGTTTGTGGTAGCCCCATCGGTTCAAGAATGTTTTTCAACGGCCATATTTTGTTGGCATTGGCCTCTGTGGGTCAGGTCAGGGAGCTTCCGGCTCTCCTCCAACGAAGAGTTTTCTGCGCCAGAGGAGAGCCGGCGCGGTACTGGTACTGGTACTGGTGGTAGGTTTGTACGCTTGCAGCCTTTCACCATCCTTCTGGTAACGGTCGAGATGGCTGCTTTCCGAAGAGGTCCATGGGTCCTTGATGCTTGGTTGGTTCAGCCGGGGGTGCGACATGTGTTGTCTGGTTGTGGCTCTTTGTCATTACATACTGTCGTTGCCGTGGATGCGCTTTAGGTTGAGCCGGTTCCCCTCGTTCCCTGTTTCAGTGCTTGGGTCTCCCAGGTCATCCGCACGTTTCTTATGTTTACCAGCCTGCGGTCTATCCTGGCCCATGCCGCTCGGACGTTTACAGCTTTCGCTGCCATGTTTGGTGACGTTTTGGACTCTTTTCGAGCACGAGGATTTGGGGGGGGGGGGTCACACAGGTTCCTGGCCACCCGTTCTTTTGTGAGCATGTCTGCTCCTGTGCATTCTAGTGTTGCTTTGGGATGCAGGTTGCTGCACGTTGTCTCGACTTGAGCGTTGCGGAGTTTGTGGTGGCCGCCTCTAAGGATATGGGGATCCGCCCTTCCGTTTCCTTCTCTTTGGGTATGAAGCTCCAGGGAGCGGTAGGGGCTCCCCACAGAAAACCAGCGTTGAAAGTAATGAAACGCCATTTTCTGGATAATCCCCGGAGGCTCCCTGGCAACCCTCCCTCCCACCGGTTGGCGATTTTTTCCCGTTGCTTGAAGCCTAGCTTCTGAACTGGTGCTAGGCAGCCGGTGCGGTGAAATCTGGGGCCCCTCCTCCCCCTCTCAAAGCGGGGAGGACTGTGCAGACGAGCGTCGCAGCAATAAAATGTGATGTTTGCTTATTTCAGTACGATTGTAGAGAGTTTCTACCTCTCTGTTTTTTTTTTTTTTTTTTTTAGTTTCTTACCATGTGGGGTTTGTTTTGTTATGCCTGCCTTTCTGGGAGCCTAACCCCAATCAATGACAGATAAGGAAAACCCCCAACCACATGGGGGTTTTCCAGGGCCATTGCTCCATGAAACCTCTCTGAAGGGGCCAGGTTCTGCCACTGGTCCCTGGTAGGTCTGAACTTCATAGCTAATGTCCCAGTCTAATATAACATACATTAGCCCGATAAGCTCCTGGGAGCCTCCAATGCTCACCCAGAAAATGGGTTTTCATTACATTCAATGCTGGTATTTAACAGTAAACTATACTGAAATCCTATATTCTAATTTGATGAAAATGAAGATCATATGCAATTCTGACAGAATAATAACACCATATGAACAATTGGTAATAGTTTATATTTTTTATTCTGATTTTAAAATATGAGGTTTTCTATATTAAATTTTAAAATTAGTTTTCATTCTCTTGTTTTTCAAGGTACGTTGTGATCATTTAGACAAAGTTGGAGCATTTGCCTAGTAGATTATGAAAAAAAAAAAAAAAAATGGAAAGTGTTTGTGCAAGTTTTAAAAACTTGAGTTATGTCAAATCGTATTTGTACGTTTTGCTCGGTTTAAATGTTAACAGCAAGGGTCGTTACGTTGATGGCTCCTTAACAATTGCCTCCAAATTTACTGCTGAAATCTTTATCACTCTTAACTTACCTAACAAACTTCAAGATCACACACAGCCTGCCCAACTAACCCTAAAATAACCTAGACCTCCCAGATAATGTCTAACTTTCCCAATTGACTTGCAGGACTCCCCTAACTTTCTCGGGTCACTGATGTCAATGATCCTAAAACGTGGAAGTGATCCATCTGGTTACAAGAAGGCATTCATGAATCCACTAAGATCCGCTACGGCATTCGTCGATAAGGTATATGAATTGTTACTTATGAGAGAGAGAGAGAGAGAGAGAATGAAAGAGAGAGAGAATGAGATCTAGTTCTACATATTTAGTTTTCTCCAAGGAGTGCCTGACCAACCGGGCTGTTGTGAGTTCGTGGGCCTACGGGCCGCTCCAAGCACTGCGCAACACTTCATATGATGTGTTGAGTAACATACGCAAAATTGCGCAGTACTGCACAAGATCTTGGAATGGATTTACAGCAGGTAGAAGGGGGGCCCCCATACGCTACGCACGGGCTAAAGTAAACAGCTGCCATTTTGAAAAACAATCCAGCTCCGCCACCAACACATGGGAGACCTCAGTTACCCAACAGTCACCATGGCGAGCGCAAGGCCAAATGCCTCTCTGGAACGCACCATGCAGTCATTGACTCAAAATCAAATAACTAGTGAATTATTTTCTGATGGTGAGAAAAGTGATATTGATGACTCTGACATTGATAAAGACTATGCACAGATGACCGATGATAGTAGCATGGAGAGTGAGTTTGAGATACAACCTACTCCTATGGAGAGGCCTACACACTCACCAGTTCCTCCTCGCCCAGTGTCTATACTAATTTGCTTACGACCACACAGTTCTTGTACTTATTTAGAGTATGAAAATATTTTGGGTGACTAGTCAGAGGAAGGTGACTCTTTTTCTGGTTTTAGTGAAGTTGACTCAGATTTCCACGCCTGTCGCTAGTGCCAGTGGTGTTACTAAGCCAGATTTTGTCACGTCAGCAGTGTCTCGCCCAGCCAAGCGCAGCAGCATGGCACCATGTGGAGACAATGAGGAACAAGGGCCCTCATGTTCACATGATTTTATCTCCTCTTCAGTTGGCGCCCGTACTTTGTACTTTGCGTAGACAGGCTTCAGCTCCTTGTCCACGGTGTGCAAGGATTCCTCGCCGTGGTGCTGCTGTTTTGTCTCGCAGCTCACCCGGTGTACTTGTGTGAAGTGATGGTGATGATTTTTTCCCTCTAATTCCTGTCTTTGACAATAAAGACGTTGGGATTACAGACTTTTCCCTGATACTAGTGAGGACTTGTGTGAAATGAGCTATTTTACTGCATTTTTTTATGAGCCGCTCATGGGACATATTGTACAAAAAACAAACATGAGTTAACAGATTTTTCACGATTACAGCATTGGAAAAACACTACTGTAGGTGAAATGTATGTTTGTTGGCACTATGTATGTTGATGAAACATTGTGTAAAACAAGTTATCTCAGATTATTGGAGCAAAAACCAGACTGTTCCAACAGCTTTGTTCGGGAAATATATGTCTTAAGACAGGTTTCAGTTACTTCTCAGGTGTCTTCATTTTGCAAGTAATGAAGACCAGACAGAGGATGATAGACTTTGGAGAGTCAGGCACGTTATGAATGAACTGATTGGAAAGTTCAGAGATTTCTACATACCAGCACAGAAGCTGGTGATTGACGAATCCCTTGTGCTTCTTAAAGAATGTCTTGACTTCAAGCAGTATATTCCCTCCAAACTCAACAGATTTGGATTGAAATTTCTATGTTCTCTGTGACTGTGAAACAGAATTTGTGTTACACATGATTCTCTATTATCCTAGCGCTGTAGACATTCCCGGTAAAGACCAACATGGTTTCTCAAGTAGTGAGGTGAAGACACCGATGGCACCCATGGCAGAACAAGGGCCACAGATAACTATTATACAAGTCCCTTACTAACTAGATTCTTGATTAAAAATAGAACTTGAGTGTGTGGCACAGTAAAGGCAAGAAGAAGGGAAATGCCAGTGTTTGACAATAATCTTGAAGTTGGTGACTGCCAGCTAAGAAAAAGTGATCAAATACTCTCAGTTAGGTGGAAAGACAGGAGAGAAGTGAACATGCTGACAACCGTTCACGATGGTACAATGGTGAACAGTGGCAAGGTGAACCGAGCAACGAAACAACCAATATATAAACCAGATTGTGTTCTTGACTATAATATCAACATGCGTTTGGTTGATAAATGTGACATGATGGTGGGCGCTGTCGAGTGTGTACGGAAAACATTGAAGTGGACGAAAAAAACGTTTTTCCATCTAGTTGACGTGTAAGCATGCTGAACAGTTTCAATATGTATCTGGTGAAAACAGGTCGTAAACTAACTTTCCGTATGTTTAGTTTTACAGTTGTGACACAGTTACTAACAAAGTTTGGCAAAGACATTCCTGGCATACAAAGACCCATTCAGAACCCAGTATTGCACCATTCTGCTACACCCAGGCTCACTTACATGGAGGCCTTTCAAGTACACAGACTAAAATATTTGCCACCAGCTGGAAAGCGTGCAATAGGCCAATGTGATTGCATAGTTTGTAGAACCACACAAATGAGACCACAGAAACGTAAACTGGTGCAAACATGGTGTGAAGTATGTGCCGTCCCATTGTGTGCTGTCAACTGCTTCAACGACTACCACTGTGTCAAAGACTTCTAAATGTGCAATAATGTTGCAAAAACCTGTAAATAATGAGTGAATGTATGTATATATATTGATTACAAATTTGAATACACATTATATATGGCGTAATTGAAAACATTTGTGTGTGCATAATTGTGACACTAATATTCAGGTGTATATTGAATGGATGCAACTTGTATTATAATTCAACATCAAGTAACATTATATGCAACACAATTAGTGAAAAAAAATTGTGATAAAATACGCCTAGACACTGTAAATAATGCAGCGAAAATAAATTTGTGGCAACTCTGGCTGCTTGAAGACCGCGCGACGCCTCCTGGACGCACCTTGCATGAGCGATCATGCAGGGTGTGACGTCATCGCTCATATTGTCGGCTCATTTACGTCATTGGTAAGTACAATTAATTTTTTTTTTCTTTCTCGTGGCAGGGAACACAAATTAACAGGTTTATAAGAAAAAAAAAATAATGTGCCTGTGGGTGTTGAAGGCCAAATAGCCCAGAGCAGCTTTGTGATGTATCAATACAAAAATCAGTAGGACCCAGTAGGAGGATTTGAACCTGTGAGTTGAAAGCAAAGCCAAATGACTCTTGACCCTCTTTGGAAAACTGCAATCTATGCAAATGAGTCAACTCTGCAGTTGTATATTTACTTTAACATTTTGACAAAGCTCTTATCTATATGGACATACTAATTACCTCTAAAAATGGATTAAAGACTATCTACTAATGTCTCATTAAGACATTTTTCATAAGTAATCTTTCATGCTACCCCGCACAGCTGAGTCTCAGATGTGCAGTAAACCACCGCTGGCGTCAACTATCAGGCCTTTGATATAGCCAATTTTTCTCTCATGTTCTTCACCAGATGTACACCTCTCTGGAAACACTCATAGAAAAAGATGGTTGGGACCAGGTGATGGAGAGCTTCTGGAGAAGTACCATCATCGCCGCCCAAAATTACACTAAGGAGTCTCCCATCCACGATGTGAACTTTGAAGTTATATTTCAAAATGAAGAATACCTGGCGGAGCTGGTCCTCCAGCTGATGGCCTCCTTCTGATGCAGAACTGATCTTTATGTAGAATTCGACATTTATTTGACAGTTATGCCTCAATTTCACAACGTCCCTGCTAGCAAACATCTTCAACAATATTCAAATTTAATATAAATAAAGAGTAACATACCAAAAATCTGTCAGCTGGTGATCAATCACGTAGAATTATCTTACTAATTCATTATCATTGTATCCTCCTTAGTAAAACTGACATTTTTAGTGATACAAATTGTTGTTTCTTTCCCATTGCCACTGACAATAATGAGATACGGGGCTAAGAAAATAAAAGGATTACTTTTGGGGTATGGCAACTTGAAGGCAGTCACAAAAGTTTATTTTGCTAACCTTAGATGGTATCGATCCTCCAAAAATATTTTGTTTCCTGAGGGGAAGCCCCTACGGCTCCCTGGAGCTTATCGGGCTAATGTATATTTTATTACACCGGGACATTAGCTATGGAGTTCAGACCCACCAGGGAACATTAGCCAGAACCTGGCCGCTTCAGAGAAGTTTCAGGGAGCAATGGCCCTGGAACCACCCCGCCCCTGTGATTGCGGGTTTTCCTCATCTGCCATCGACTGGGGTTAGGCACCCAGAAAGGTAGGCAAACAAAAACCCCACATGGTAAGAAACTAACAACTAAAACCGAACAGAGAGGTAGAACTCCCTACAATCCCAATGAAACAAGCAAACAAGCAAACGTCATACACTACTGCCATGTCGCTCGTCCACGCAACCCTCCCCTCCCAGATAGGGGGAGGGGGGGGCGGATTTCACCACGCCGGCTGCAAAGCACTTTAATTCGTACCCTAATGTCATCCGGGACAGACTCTTCGCCGGCCTCAGTTTCATAGGTGAGTTTCATGTTTGCCTTCATGGCGCTCACTGCTGTGTTTTTGTGTTGTGCGGTGGCCAGGTGTTCCTCATCAGTACCGGGGCTGCATGCGCTTAGGGGCTTCCTTTCCTAAGCGCCCTGTGAGTAGTGCCCCTGCGTGACAGGGTTATCATCCCTGGAGCGTTCAGGAACCATTCCCGTAGAGGTTCTTGCTGCGCGGCATTTGCCTCGCCCTTGGGGCCAGATGGGGCTTGGGTCCCTTGTTTGTCCTTGGGTAGGGACTGGTATTGTGCTGGTTAGGGCGTCAAGGTGTTGCGTGACTTGCCACCTACGCGGCGACCGATTCCTGTTGCCTCTGGGGACGGTGTACTTTTGCGGGTTTTTTGTTTTTATTTTCATTTGCCTGGTGGGGGTCTACCTAGTGTGGCTGTAGTGTTTGGTGGCTCTCTGCTAGGTCCCCCTGTGACTGTACTTATCGCAGGGGTTTTCAGTGTTGCATCTACCCCTTGTTAGCTAGGGTGTTAGCCGGTTAGCAACTCCTTGCCCAGGCTTCCCGTAGCATTCAGCCTACGGGCCCTGGAAAACCCCTGTCGGGGCTTCGTGGATTATTGGATGTATCATCCTGGTTCCATCCCATCTTGTGCGGGTTTATTGTTGCTGTGCCCTTGTCTCAGGGTGACAGTCACCACGTTTACCTCCGTCATGCTGCCTGCTGGGTCACTGACACCTTGACCAGGAGTCTTGCGAGTTCTGTTCTCTGCTTGTTTTCCAGTGCTATTCTGATGTCCTTACTGTTAAGAGTACAGGCGGCATCCGCGTTGCAAGCTCAGTTTAGGTTGCTGCAGCGCGCTAGGTTGGTTTCCCACCCGGATGTACCAAGGCCGCCGCGTTTTGGTTAGGTGCTCTTCGCCCCTTTCCCTGCTTGATCCCGACTCTTGACCGTCTGTGGGTTTTGAGGTCGGGGCGGGGTTTAGTTGGGGCCGAGATTTGGGCGGTTTCGGTGACTGCCCCGTTCGTGTTGGGAACTGAGGTTTTCGAGGCTGTTCCTCCTGCCAAGGCTTCCGGGTCTGACCAGTGACCCTTTCTTTGCTGCCTTTCCCCTGGACTCTTCCTTTTCTTCCCAGCAATACCCAGCAATAATTACATTTTCCTGTGTGGCCGTGGCAAGTACTGCCTCTGCTTCTATACGTCTAGGGGGCTTGTAGACATTGTACATGAGGAGCTCAATATTAGCCATACTCACTGTTACTGCTAATACTCTATCCCCACATAGGGGCTGGTGGCTGACTGGACAGCACGCTGGACGCGTTATTCTGTGGTCCTGGGTTCGATTCCCGGCGCCGGCAAGAAACAATGGGCAGTGTTTCTTTCATCCCTGATGTCCCTGTTACCTAACATTAAATAGGTACCTGGGAGCTAGTCAGCTGTCACGGGCTGCTTCCTAGGATATGTGTGTGTGTGTGGTGTGGAAAAAATAGAGTAGTAGTAACGGTTGATTGATTGACAGTTGAGAGGTGGGCTGAAAGAGCAGATCTCAACCCCTGTAAGCACAACTAGGTGAATACATGAAACTGGGTCTATTTTCTTGTTGGGTATGACTATTGTCATATGTATGGTATGACTTCTGACTAGGGTCATTAACCCTCTGTCTCCCCTGTTCATGCGGTATAACATAATGCTGATATCCAGCTAATCTGAAGGATTTCGTTGCTGGGAAAAAAAAGAGTTTCTTCTAATACGATTATATCTGCTTTCGTGCTGATTGCAACCTCCTGAAGAATGTGGTTTTTACTTCCAAGACCTTGAATGTTTCACTGAAGTATTTGTAATGGCCAGACGACGGTCTCGGTTGGTGTTGCCTGTTCTGGTAGAACTCCTCTTCGGAATCGACCTCTATATTCTCCACCTCGCAAGTCGTGTCGGTGCAAATCGGACTGCACTGATTGCTCATTGTCAACCCCTGCATTGTTGGAATATGTTCATAATTGTGGTCCATCTCTTTGTTCCTGGTATTCCTGCATATCAGACTGCATTGATTGCTCGTGGCCGTTTCTTGTGTTGTCGGATTTTGTGCATCTCTCCCATCCAGTATTTCATTGTTAATGATGTTGCATATCGGGCTGCATTGATTGTTGGTGCCCGCCTCTTGTGTTGTTGGAAGCTGTGCATCTCTGCTGTTCAATATTTCTTTGTTGGTGTTGTTGTATATCAGACTGCATTGGCTGTTGATGTCTGTCTCTTTATGTTGTAAGATTCTGTTGATCTTGGGTGGTCACTATTAAGACAGAATTCCGAGTGATTGCACTTATTTGGAGTTTTCAAATACGATTTTCTATACAGGAAATATGCAAATTTATGAAAACAGTGATTGGTCAGATTTGGCCCAAATCCCTCTGCTGTTATCAAAATACGATGCCTATTGGAAATATGACTCTGGCGTTATTTCTGAGCGGCATTTAGAGTGATTACACGTATTTCGAATTGTAAATTGCGACATTTTATGCAGAAAATATGCGAATCAGTGAAAATGGTGATTGGTCAGATTTCCCCAAATCTCCCGGCAGTATTCAGATCGATGCCAATCAGAAATATAACTTTTTAGCGTTATTTCTGAGCGGAATTCAGGGTGATTGCACATATCAGAGTCAGGCGCAGTCAGTATCAGAGAGAGGGGTGTTAACTGGAGTTCCAATTGTCCTAATACTGAAAATAGAAGGTGTAGTGAGTGAACTGGTGCTAGTGAGGGAGCTATGTGGATATCTGAGAGCAGAGTTGGAGAACAACTTCAAGGAAAGCAAATGAGGAGAGCAGCAGTAGAAAGTCTTCGCCTTGGAATGTCCAGTGGCGTCTGCTGCTTTGGATGTTCACTATTATACTCTTAGAGAAAATATTGACATAGTAGCACATCAGGAAACTGGGGATAGGGATTGTAGCATTCTGAGGCTAAATGGCTATACAGGTTTTCACTTATATGCACTTATAATCCGCTATAATTAGCGGAGTCTCATGTTATGTCAAAAGTATCATACCTGCTGAGATAACTGGAATACCTCAGAGATATAGAGGTATTGAAGGTATTAGTTTCCGAATACAATTACAAGACCGAATTTCATTAATCTGTACATCTCTGATTGCTCCCTTGATTTAAGATAAGATTCCTTCTTCTCCGAAAATTCATTTGTGGTAGGGGATTTTAATGCCAGACATCCAGCTTTAGGATCAAGGGGGTAAAGCAAATAGGAATGGTTGCAGATGATACTAGTTTTTGCAGGAACATGAAGATGTTCAACTGCTAGGCGAGCCCCCCTCTCTTAATCATCTACGAGGAGGGAGATTAGATTATGCTTGTTTGATAAATGCTGAGGGCATAGAGAGGGAATTGGTTTACTATGGATGAAATGCTAAGTGATCCTTTTGCATTACAAATACTGCTTGTACTAGACAAAAAGAATGCCTGCCTTCAGAGGAAAAGGTTAGAGTTTATGAAGGAGAATTAAGGGGTCTTGTTGGTCATATTAAGTCTTGGTATGATACTTATAAGCCAGTTTCGGCAGAAGAAGTTTATGAAGATCTAATTAAGGAGGTAGATGTATTTAATGTGACATTAAGCAAAAGACTATCTAGTATAAAAAAAAGCATCCCCCCAGAAAAGAAAATTATACACAGGACAAGATGCTTAAGGGATGGACATTAACAATGAGAAGAGCTGACAGGGATTGGAATAGGAATGGTAGGACTGAGGAAGGGAAGAATGCTTTACTGGCAGTTGCTAGGCTGTGTGGGGAGAAGAGAAAGGAAATTAGTAGCAAGTATTGGCAGGAATTTGCAGAGAAAGTTGGGAGTAACAGAAACTTGAAGGAAATCTGGTAAGACGTATATAAAGTAAAGGGTAAAAAGCATAATTTTGTTGCACATCCTGACCCCGCAAGGAATTGCAAAAAGTCTCGTAGATAAATGGGCGGAAGCTGCCAAAATTAGTTCATTATCCGTTATAACGAGAGAGTCATTAGATTCTTGGAAAGATCTAAGAAAGGCTTTTATATACAGCAGGTAACAGTGGTGATGTCACTTGCACAGGTATTACCAGAGATGAACTAATAATGGCGATTAAAGTTGGGAAATCTACCGCCCCTGGGGAGTATGAAGTAACATATACTTAATGAACTTACCATTATGAAAAAAGCCTACTGTTAGACCTCTTTAATATTAGTTATAAAGAGGGCAGTATTCCTAGTAAATGGAAAAAAAGCTATGATCATCCGTATCCCTAAAGCCAATAGAGAGTACAGACCTATGTACTAAACCTCATGTTCTTGTAAAATGATGAAGAGGATAATTTTAAATAGACTTTTATATATAATAGGTGATCAGCTGTCTAATAATTTGTTCGGATT